GGGGGGTTCTTATGCGATGAAATAGTTGTAGGAGAGGCTGAGGAAGCTAAAAATGCCTACAACTCAAATTCCATGATTTTGATCCGAATTTTCTAACTCAGCTTGTTAGGGCCAACCCGGACTGAGAGAGATAAAATATCCCAGCAGAAAGACCGAGATACTGGACAAAATTTTCTCCCCACTTGGGAATCGAACCGATCTCCAGCATGTGACAGCAATAAAGAGCCTAACTACTACACCACGATAAGAGGAAGATGCTTAGCAAACACCACTTAGACAAAAAAATAATATCTTAACCTTCTAATCCGAGCAGTGGTGTCCTAACTTTTCTTACTTTTCTTATGACACGTCCCATCAGCCTGGAATCACATCACAAGACCAATTAGTGGAGTTTAAGTGAAAAAACCTGCTGTACGTGGTAGAACCGTTGGTCATTGTATAAGTTTAACACCCCTTTCAACACCCTAAGGTTATTTAAAAAACGTGACCTCTACTAAGTTCAACGTCCATATTTGACAAGACTGAGCTAAATGGTTGGAACACCTCAAGAACTCCCCAAAACAACTCAAGTTCAGAGCCCACCCCCATTGGAGATTCGAGCCAGGGCCATATGCTCTATAGTCTAGTATGATATAAATAGAGCCAACGGTGCACCAATAGTCTATAGTAGAACCATTACCGAAAAGAATCAGACAAAAAAAGACATATTCATTTGATGATGTCATTCTGTAACATACGTGGTAGTCCACTTTAACCGTACGCGGTTAATCTGAAAACAACTGTAAACCAAAACAAAATAAAAACCCCGATTTTTAAAAACTTCAATTTAGGCAACCTCTCTAAATCGAACACTCTGCTATACTGAAGAAAATCTGGCGGTCCTGAAGAATTCCATTTTAGTGAACTCCACTGAATATATCAGCTTATTGATGTAACAAACATCATAAGGAAACCATGCCAGGTGTAATGGCGAGACTCTTCACTATGGCACACTGAAAACAAAAGTTCTTTTTTCACATGGGCGGTTTTTAAATCGAAATTGTATATCCCCGTCTGCTGGGGTAATAGTATAGATTGTGAAGCGCATAGAGCTTGCTGATGAGCGGGGGTTTGCGCTATACAAATGCTATCTATTATTATTATTGCTGGGATGATGTGTCCTTCCCAGCCCAGGTAGGTCCCTATAGGCATGGGTAAAGCAGTCCGTCTCTTTAATGATATTGTAACAACTAAGTTGCACGACACCTGTGTACACTAATACTAATAGTACATGTATAACAACAATGACTTTGTGGAATTCGCACCCGTGAGTCGTGAAGGTATGGTATAAAGGAGGTTGTTGTTAGGCCCTTGTATGGTATATAAATTATAAAGTGTGTGTGTGCGTGTGTGTTTGAGTGTGTGTGTCTGTGTGTGTGTGTGTGTGTGTGTGTGTGTGTGTGTGTGTGTGTGTGTGTGTGTGTGTGTGTATGTGTGTGCGTCCTTACATTATAGAAACTCTGTACAAGTTCCCAAACTGATGTCATGTTGAGTCTCTACATTACAAACTATGTCCACTGTAGAGTAAAATATTTTTGACAATTACAATTTTACGGACATAAGGGAAAAGAAAGTGGAGTCTTTTAAGAATCTGATTACAGCACTTTTATTTCAACAGCAAGTGCGTGTCAGTCGCATCCAATATGACTTGCAGAAGTTCATGTCATAATATTGCTCAGATCACATGTCATTCATGCTTCATTTGTTTTAAAAAATAATATCCACTTGTGAGCAAAGTCCCCAGCTCTACACCAGGTTTTATCACAACATATTTTTAAAAATATTGTGTCGTATGGCAAATTCAGTTGACTACGGATGAGTTCATGTCATTGTCATCGAGGGAGAAAAAAAAAAGAAGATAAACCAGGGATGCCAAATGATTTTTGAAAAAAACACCTGAAAATGAGCGGAACATCACACCTCACCTAAAACGAACCTTGTAAAATCTTGAAATGAGAAAAAAACAACATTTCTCTTACCATTCCCCTTTCCTTAGCAAGTGTATGAAAAAACCGGAAAAGGACGGAAAAACCAGAGATTCGGCATCCCTGATAAACTCATCCGAGGTTCAACTTAACCGTTGGGACCTGTTAAAAAAAGAGGTGCTGGGACCTGAGAAAAAGATCAACTAAACCGAAGATCAGCTCAAGCGAGTTCAATACAAGCGGGGTTGATTGTATCACTGAAAACCAAGCTGATTATTATGGTTATACATGTAATTGAAAAGCAATATGTTTTTATAACTGTCTATATGTGAGGCAGCGTGGTGAAATTAGGCGCTCGTCAAATTAATGAAAGTGAAGAAACTGGCATTTTCCTGCAGATTATGGAATTTTTATCGAATTTTGTTTTGTTTTGCTGAACACCTTTCAAGCCCATTAAAGAATACACTTCAGTGTGGATTTAACTGAAAAACGTTGATTAAAGGCATAAAAAATGTAAATTTTCAGTTTCCACCGACTCTCAAGCTAAAAGGAAATAACACAACTTTGGCAGCCACATTCTTACTAATTTTACCTCTAAAACCCCACCTCCTTCAATTGCCAATATCTTGACTTGTACAAAAGATAAAGTTTTTCTATCAAAAGCAAGGCAAAAAGGCCAGACTTTAAGATGATACCAATAACTCCATATACCCAAAAATTGACTAGTGCTTGATTCCACCATGTCGTGACATATATATGTAATCCAATGTAAAATGAAAAACAAAATAATAAACCCTGTTTACAGTGCTAAATATATTGTGCTGGAGTCATTACAGATACTGATTTTTCCCTTGCTTGATTAAAATTAATTTGGACAGTATACATGTACATAATCAGTCATTGTTAGTCATGAGTTGAATTAATATTTAACATCATCAGAGTACAAGATCAAGTATAGAAAAAAATAAAACAGAAAAGCAAGGGTGTACCTTGAGTCTAACTTATTCATCTTCTTTGAAAGACTGACAAAAAGAATGGAAAATAATAATATGAAGAGCTTTTGAATACAAACTTGATGTAAAAACATTTGCAGTTGCTGTCATTGAAACAATTTCTGGTACATTGTATTCTTTAATTATAATTATAAGTTATATATGTTTGCATTATTGCGAGACTGCCAGGAAAAACAAGTCTGTCAGTCAATTGCAGTGAATTGTTAACGGATAATCTTAAGTATAATACTGTCACATACTTTGGCATCTCTAGGCCAGTTTTGGAAGCTTGTCAATGTATGCTATGTTGATCATAATGAGTAGAACCAACAGTCATGGGAGGAGAAAGTTCAAGTTCAGGTCTAGCATTGAACACGTCTCCACTTGATTGCACCAAAAGGCAATTATCACGGTTTAAACCAAGGGTGTGTGTATAAAAGTACACAATTTTCCAGGAAAAAAGAAAAGTAGAATATAAAAACTTGAAAGAAAGTCATGGTGAGAAAAACAAAAGACACATAAATTATTTAGATTGTCAAGGTACACCTCTCAGTTGTTTGATTAAATAAACAGGGGTGAGAACTGGCTTCGGAAAAAAACGATTATCCACAACTTTCTGAACTCTGCACACAGGGCATTAAAATTTGCTGATCACTTTGTCTAATACATCAAAAAGTAACTGTATGGATTTAATGCGTCTATCAACACTATAATACTATTAGATTATTCAACAGGCAGGACTTCTGAATTTAACGTCCGTCTCTGACAGAACCGAGCTAAATGGGTAAATTAAGAGCCTTGAAAACTCTACGAAACATGAGTTCAAGAACGCCCAGTCTGGGATGCAAACAAGGGTCATCCACTCGGTAGTCCAGCATGATATCAACTGAGATAAAGGAGTACCCAATATATCTCTTATCAAGACTGTTTTTATACAAAGTGCAACAACTTCTCAACAATTGTTATTAACCTGATGTCAGGAAAAATGCGGACAATATTAGGAATCTGGATTTCCGAATTTATCTGGAAACTTAGCACCTCTGATTACAACAAGAGAAGTTGGATAACAAAATAATGGGTTAAAAGGATACAAGAAAAGAAAGATCAAAGAGCAAAAGTAGTTGAAAGAGAAAGGGAAATACAAAAACAGAACTGCAAGATTTGCCAACCACCTACAAGAACCGATTCACAGTGAATAATATAATAACTTTTTGAATTTATCAAAAACATCGGATAATAATACTTTAGTTTTTTTTTACCAGATGCAGTAAAAGGTATTCAAAGTTATATATAGGGAACTTGCAGGCCTTCTATAATTCAGTGTGTGTGTGTGTGTGTGTGTGTATATGTATGTCTGTATGTGTGTGTGTGTTTGTGTGTGTGTGTGTGTGTGTGTGT